TCCCAGCTACAGAGAAGTCCCAACAGATGATGCTTACCCCTGCAGTGCAGCAGCAGTGCAGAGCTGTGGTTCTCATGGCTGTGCTCTGTCTCCACAGCTGTCCCTGGTCAGAGGAGCGCTGCCCATGTTCGAGCTGGTGGAACGCCAGCCCTCACACTTCTCCAACCCCGACGTCCTCAATCTCACACCAGGTGAGGCCACGCAGGGAGGGAGAGCTGAGGGTGAGCCCGTCCCTCTGGCTTTCTGGAAATCATCTGGAATTACATGAGGGATTTTAGTCTGTTCCTGTTCCACCTGGAATTTAACCTGGAGTTCTTGGGTCAATTGATGTCGTTCTTCAGCTTTCAGCTAGAGGTTTGCAGATCCCACAGTGTCTCAGGATGGTTTTTAGAATAATCTGTGAATTATTCTAAAAATAATTCACTGAGCAGAAGAACAAACAAGCTAACAGGCTGCCCTGGCAGCCTGTGACTCTCTGGTTTCTGAAGGGATGCTTGGAGCAATCAAAAGTGTCCAGTGAAAAGGCTGAAAACGAGTTTATAGGTAATGAAAATGCTCCAAGACAGGGCTGGTCACATGTAGTTCCAGGATAAGGCACTCCTTCTTGGCATGTACCATTACCAGTGGGAAAAAGGACAAGTGCTGGGCCCTAACCTTGCCTGTCAGACTTTGCTTATCACATTAATGACATGAGCAAACATTGCAGGAGATAAAGCCATTGGCTGCTTCTGCCAAGAGCACTCAGTGTGTGTGGGCAAGCCTATCCTGTCACCAGGCACGGGGAGGCCTCCTGGCAACCTGCACCCTGCACTTCTGCTCTCTCTCTCCCTGCCCTCCCTCCTTAAAAGCTTTCATTATCATACTGTCTTTGCTGTTCAGCATGCTCAGTTCCCTTAAACTGTCAATTGATCCTTGCCTGTCTTAAATTGTCCCTAATGTTTTTTCTGCTCCTAAAAATGTTTTTGTAATGGACTACTTGTCCTTCTCCCTCTTCCCTGGCTTGTAGAGCTTCTCCCATCTGCCAAGGGCATTCATTTCTGTTAGTCCTGTTTCTCACTAGAAGGAGTAATTGAACTTTGAGCCCCTTTCAGGGCCTAAAGGGGTTCCAAGAAAGCTCAAAAGGGCACACAGTGATAGGACAAGTGGGAATGGCTTCCCACTGCCAGAGGGCAGGGTTAGATGGGATATTGGGAAGAAATTCCTCCCTGTGAGGGAGGTGAGGCCCTGGCACAGGTTGTTCACAGAAGCTGTGGCTGCCCCATCCATGGAAGTGTCCAAGGTCAGGTTGAACAGGGCTGGGACCTCCCTGGGATAGTGGAAGGTGTCCCTGCCCATGGCAGGGGGGCAGGACTGGATGATCTTTAAGGTCCCCTCCAACCCAAACCATTCTGGGATTCTGTAGCTGTCCAGCCTGAACTAATAAAGGTTTCTCCTTCCCCCTGTGCTAAAGTGCTTCCTTCCCCTTTAAGTGTGAGCTCCTTCTTCACCATATAGATGGAAGGGTAGAGAGGTGGGATCAACTAACATTACTTTTCCGCACAAAGTGAACTGTGCTAATTGCTTTTAGGAGAGTGCATGTTGTAATTACATTCCCTAATAGTTGCATCAAAAACTATAGTAGAAATTATTCCCTAATACATAAGGGTAAATGTATCTCTTAATTGGGTCAGAAATCTTCATGGGTATTAGTCCAGACCTGAGCAAGTTCTCCTGTTCTGAGCCTCTTGAGGCAGAACAGTCTCCTGCTAATGCAGAGCTGGGGCACAGGAAGGTTGTACAAAACAGTGGCAGCAGAAATGTGTTTGGATCTGTGAAAGATGACGTGCTTCTGTGATCCATGTAATTCTCTCCAGGGCATTTTCCATACCACTGACATGTTCTTAGCCTCCTCAGAGCCCTCACTCAGGTTTGTCACTAAGTTTTGGAACTTGTAGGCACTTGGCACTCCAGTTGTGATGCCCTCCAGCTGCTGGTCTCACCAACAGTCACAGCATCCCACTGAGGCAGCGCTTTCTTCTTCTTCTCTTCCAGACTCCTCTGATGCCGACAGATTGGAAAGGTTCTTTGACTCAGAAGATGAAGACTTTGAAATCCTGTCCCTTTGAAAACAAATAGGAAACTGACTCTGCAAATTTGTGTATGTGTGGGGAGAAGGGGGGAGGGAAGCTCCTTCGAGAGCCTGGGGCTACCGGTTTTCATAGGCGCTTGCTGCCATCCCTGCCTCCCGTCCATCCTGGCATTCCGTGCAGCCTCGGAGCGGAGCGCGCAGTGTCTGCAGTGGGATGAAGAACCCAGAGGGTTGTTACAGCCTTACTGGCTGCAGTTGGAATTGCTCAGCAGCTAACAGCTGCTGGGAGATGGATGCAGTGGTGCTTAGGAGTTCAAAGCCTATCTGTTACATCAGCAGGTCAGCTGGGCCTTCCGGGGGAGGCACGGAAATCGTTAGAGCGCTGAATCCTTCCATGGGGACTCCCCTCTGAAGCTTAAGTAGAGCCCACCCGTCATTTAGCAGGAGAAAGGTCCAGTTAATGCCTTTAGCAGCTTTCCTTCTCACTGGCCAACCTGGACTGCAGCTCACAATGCCAGGGAACAGCAGCCATGTCCCACAGACAGCTGTGAAGCCTCCGGAGCGCAGGTCCCTACGGTACAACTCCTGTTCATGCTCTGCAGGACACTCAGCACTACCTCTCCTGTCCACAACCTATAGAAAGGGAATTGAGGGAATTTCTAAGTGACTGGGAATTCAATGAGTGAAGTGTTGGAGCAGTGCTGTGCTGCTGGGGAGCATCTCAATCCCAGTTTAAATAACAGAAGGAATGGAAGAGTAGAACATGTGTGTGTTGCTCAGTGAGTCAATCCATGTGCTTCTACAATGGAGTAGTCTCTACTGCAAGTACCTTCAGGAAAGCTGCTTTGAACAGAAAACTCAATTCCACAGCCCTGGAAAAAAAAGAGTCCAGAGCTGGGAGAGCTGAAACAAGACAGCAGAGATCTGCCAGGCATGTTCCAGGCTCCTGCCTGTCCACCAGTGTGCTGGCATGGTGACTAGGGAGTGATGTCCTGCCAAAAACCCAAGTTGTAAAACCTCTTGAGGTGCCCTGGGTGGGTTGGTCAGCGCTTCCTCCAGCTACTCCTGTCAGACATTCCCTTTCCAAAGCAGAAGAGGTGCCTGAAGGTCGAGTAGGTTTCTGAGCTGTGTCAGTACCTTGCCTCTGCCAGCTCCCCTCCCTGCAGAGTGCAGCCAGAGGTGCTGTAGGAGCTAACCTGGAGAAACCCCTGTCAGGTGACCATCCCAAGAAGGGCAGTGTGCCTTGAGAAGGTCCAAATATACTGGAAATTTTAGCTACTTGCAGTTGGCAGCTCTGCCTGGGGCCCTTCTCCACAGAGAGAAGGGTAAACTGTGGAGGAGAGCTGTCTCCATGCACACTGCTAGGGAAGTGCTGCCATGGTTTCCTTGGTGCGTGCTGCACACTTCGACCCTGTTTACAAGGCTTTGGTTTGTGCATTCAGGTTTGGAACCTGTCAGATGATGATGGTGTGCCCAAGGGTGGTGCCACCAGGCTAGAATTGACCTGTTTCCCCTGTGACTGACCTACTGATGCTCTAACTGTCCCTGTGATACCCGAAAGCAGAGGTTTGAACTGGGAACCACAATGCTTCTGTCACTAAATTATTATTTGCTGCTTTCTGCCTGCTTCTCCTCTTCTCTCTTGTAGTCAGGGGAAGAGGCAGCAGAGGAAGTGGGGCTGTGCTCCATTCATCTGCTTTCAATTTCTATCTGAATAAACAGATGTAAAATCGTTGCCTGTCCTGATGTCCTTGCACATGATGAAGGCAGTGGTGGGTAGTATGCAGTACACCAGGAGAGTCCAGTGTGTACAGGGCTCCAGGGGAGCTGGAGAAGGACTTTGGACAAGGGCCTGGAGGGACAGGACAAGGGGGAATGGCTTCCCACTGCCAGAGGACAGGGTTAGATGGGATATTGGGAAGGAATTGTTCCCTGTGAGGGTGGGGAGGCCCTGGCACAGGGTGCCCAGAGCCAGGGCGGCTGCCCCATCCCTGAAGTGTCCAAGGCCAGCTTGGACAGGGCTTGGACCTCCCTGAGATAGTGGAAGGTGTCCCTGACATGGAAAAAGGTGACCCTTAAGATCCCTTTCTAGCCCAAATCAGTCTGTGATTCTACTGTTTATTTCACATTCATGGTTGTATGTTTAAGGACAGCTCTGCCAGACAAGATTTGACCTGAGTGTCAACACAACCCCAATAGCAGAGCTAAGCTCAGCTCTCTTAGATCTTTAACAGGCATTTCTGGCTTTTCAGCGTTGCCTTGTCCCAGTTTTACTGTCGGGGCCTGATGCAGCATTGCAGGAGCTCACCTCCTTCACCAGGAGTGTCTGGCTGCCAAGGGCTGGGCAGCTGTGGAGGGAAGCTTTTGCCACTGTAGCTGATGTTTGTATTACCAATGTTTTAAATATTTAGCTTCCTCTCCCTGCTCCTGAATCAGTTCAATCTGCCTCTCTCTGAGTTAGAGAGGAGTTAGTTTGTGGAGATCAGAGCAGTCCCCCCTACTGGAAGGTGAGTCAAACATCCAGCAGAGACCTGAACTCCCCTGGCCACGTCCATCTCTCAGTGTCCCTTGGAAATGATTAACATTCCAGTTTGTTCTGCTGATTTAGGTGGTTTGTAGCTGGTCTGCTTTCACACTGCACTGGGGTGTATGCAGGAGCCCCAAGTGACTGTTCCTCTCATCTTGGCCAGTCTAAAACGATTTATGTGCCACTTGTCCTCCAAACTGGCCTTGCTATGAGCTCATCCATCTGTTTCAGGTTCTTACCTGCTCACAGCTGGGGAGAAGGCTTGAATTCACCTCTCCCTTTTTTTCCACAGCTCTAGCAAACAGTTTTCCTTGGATTTAGTGGCTGAACTGCAGCACTGTCACCTCCCGTATATCCGTTCTAGAAGATAAATGATCATACTGGAAAAAAATGCCCTGTGCCAAATGCTTAAAAGAGTAATTTATTAGCAAATCCTCTACAAACTGGTTTTAGCATGGGGGGGATGCACTTTCTAGAGAGGATGAATGATCAGAAACGTGGCAATTCCCTAAAAATGGGAACTGTCGTGTCCAGGGATGGCCCTGCACTCCAGGAGTGGAGCTGGAACAGGAGCTTGGGAGAGGGAGGTTTTGACAAGGAATTTGATACACACTCATGGCATACTCATTTAAAAAATGCAGAAGGGACTCTGCAGGCTGGAAGGGAGGAACAGATAATAAGGACATCAGCAGCATGTTGGACCCAAAAGAATACACAGGATCTAAGCTGTAGCTGCTGGGGTGTCAGTCATCCAAGTGCAGAAGATCCAAGAAGTGACCGTTGCATTTTGACCTTACTCTTTTTGACCTGTATGAAGTTTCATTTCCAGAGTTCTCCCAAGGGTTTATTCTGAACATCCAGCATAGTTTCCTTTGCAATGGACTTGATTTCTCTGTGCAAGTCTTCAATGCTCTTTGAAGCATCCACTGTCTGTTTCCAAGACAATACAGGACAGATAACAGAGAATACAGAAATGAGAAAAACCTTGTTGTTAACATCTGTTTACCCCCCATTACTCAGTGTTATTCTTCCTGAGTAGTGAAATGAGCTAATTACACCTCCTCTCAGCAGTTTCTGGAGTGGATTTTGGAGAAATCAGTGTAGGAATAGGCATTTAAGAAGTAGATGTCAGGGTGGGTGAAGGGAAACAGAAGGAACTGCTGCTGCATGTTGTTTGCTGGCAGTCTCTGGGGTGTGTGACAGAGGCAGGTAAGCTAGGGATTCATCCCAGCTGCACCAAGAGCTGACCAGGGTCTCCTGGAACAGGGAAGTGCCCTCTCTGCCACATCTCACAGTGCCCTTGGCTGGTCCCCAGTGTGTCCCACTGAGCAGAAGTGGGAAGGGGCAGCACAGGAATGTGACAGGCAAAATTTGGGAGCTCTCACTAGAGACCCCCACCCCAGTCCATGACAAATCCATTAGAGTTAATTCCTCACCTTCCAGTTTAGGGACTTGTCCTCCATGAGGCAATAGAAGGACTGAAGAACTTTCTCTTGGAAGGAGCTGGTCTCATAACGTTCCTGTCCAAAGTTGCCTCGTTCTGCTGCTGCTTCTGGGTTTAACTGGAGGAACAGGATCAGGTCTGGCTTTGGGAGTCCAACATCAGGCTGTTTGCACCAGTCCAGGCCAAAGTTCTGCCCCAAGCAAAGACAAGAGGGTTTGAGGTGAGACACACACAAAGACAGGAAAGCAGCAGGTTGGCTGGAGAGTGAGGTGGGAAAGGAACAGCCAAGGATGGCAGGAATTGCAACCCAAAGCACTCAGCACAGGCCATGGACTGAACAGGTGACAGCCCAGCTTACCATGTGGGAATTCAGTCCTTCTCATTTGGGAGTGAGTAGGTTTTGTCAGGTGTTCAGCACCTCCTGTGCCTATTTAAGTTGGAGAGAGTGAAAGTTTTTCATGCCTCTTCTGCAGATCTCATCTGAGCTCTACCAAGGCACGTTCTGAGCCTCCACACAGCCATCACCACTCCAAAACTTGCTCAGTCCAACAGAAAGCTGCTCCCAAACACAAACAGCACACAGCTGCAATGCAGATCTCTCTGAGGCTCCTTCCCAATACTCACCTTTCCAGGAATTTCAGCCCACACACAACAGATGCAGTTTTCCAGCTTTTGGATTTTGCTGACTTGTCTCACAACTTCCACCAGGGCATGTGAATCCTTGATGTTGGTGAGACTACAGAGTCCACTTACTGCTCATCCACATCTTACATCCCTCTAAGAGGAGCTGGCACATCTGCCCTCCAGTTTCTCCCCAGATTCTGTATCCTGGTAGTCTGGGTATTTTTGGGATGTATGTGCAGTGGGTTTTTCAATCCCACGAGGGGGTAAGAGAAGCTGAAAGTGCCACAACATCTTGGGAGTGAGATCTGGCAGCCAGCAGACTTTTGTGTTAGGTATGGGCATCAACATCTCCCCTTCTCCTGGAATGCTTCTTGAGTGAAAAATATGCCAAACTCCATACTTTTAATAAGCAGAGGAGGCCCATTCCAGCAGCAAAAGATGCCATCCCTGCTTCCCAAGGGTGGCATCCACATGGCTGAGCCCTGCAGGTCACCAACTACATTCAAAGAAATGCAGACACTTTAAGACACCCTTTTACCCTCACCAGAAAGTAGCAGAACATTCCTTGCTGTGCCCATGTGGATTTGGGGTCATTATTTTGGGGTGACTCAGCTCATGTTACACATCCTGGCTCTTAATGTGGGGCTTTTGCAGACACCTGGTTAGCACCTCAATGCTTCGATGCATCTGTCTCAAGCCACACAGTGTCCAGGAAAGCAGCAGGATGGGAGAAGATGCAGGTGGGAGTGCAGGGCTTGGGGCCCAGGATCTCCTCAGTCCTTGCAGGAAGCAGGAAAGGCTTGGGCAGGAATGAATGCAGGTCACAGCTGGTGCTGCAGGCATGGCTGGAGCTTCTGTGACCACTCTTAGAGGACTGATGGCTGCTCAGCAGGAACAGGACACTTCTGATGGAGTGGGACAAGAGTGTCTGTGCAGAATGGCTCCAAGGGAGGCTGACAGAGCTGACTTGTTCTGAAAGCCAAAAGGCACAAGTGGGAATGCCAGCAATTCAGGCTAAATGAAGAAAATCGCTTTTACTCTGAAGGTGAGCAGAGAAGAACCCAGAAAGGAATGGATATACATCCCTGAAGATACTCAGACCTTGGCTGGATGTAGGCCCAAGCAGCCTGCTTATGTCAGCCCTGCTGGAGGCTGAATTCCACAGGTCTTTTCTAATGTATGTGGTTCTGTTCCACAATTTGATGGGCCAGCAGCCTGAGCAACTACAGAGAGTCTTCCATAAACTCCCAGAATCATTCTCCAGAGTCACACAGGTCAGCTTCCAGCCCAGCAGTCTGTCCAGACTTAGAAAAAGTCACCAAATAAGTTTCTCTGCTTGTTCTGGGGAAGGGTGGACCCATGTTAATACCTGAGCTGAAACCTCCATCCCTCATCTCCCAGAAGAATGGCCCCTGGGCCATTCACACCAACAGCCTGGGGCTGATTCCCCAAGCAGAGAGGGGGACAGGGGCTGCTGCAGGTGTCACTCACCCCTTTGGCACTTGTGAAGGCCACTCCAGAGAAGGCGTATCTGTCAACCACCACCGTGATCCCCTGCTGCAGCTTCTCCTTCATCATCGGTCTGAAACCATGGGGGAGATAAAATAACAAAGCTGCACTCCTTTATGGTGACAGGAATGAAAGGATCTCATCTAAAACTCCAAGACTGACTCCATCACTAAGGGAGGTAGCTGTGATGCAGGTGGCAGGTGAAGAGCTGTTTGTATTCTCCACCAGGCACTGACCAAATACCCTTTGATGGCACCCAAACTCAGGGTGCCAGCACTGGGCACTGCTCCAGGCAGCTCCAGGGATCACAAGCAAGCTCAAAGATGAATTATATTAACATGGACAGCTCAGTCCTCTTCCCTTTCTAGGTGGTACAGCAGATTTTGTGATATGCTCTGCCACCTTTATTCATGACACTTCTTAGAGCTCACTTCTGTGAGACTGAGAGAGTCTGTGAGACTCCTGTGCTTTCTGTTCTCCCAGCTTAATTGGCACTGCCACCACAGCAGAGCCAGCAAAGCTTTTCTGTAAAATGAGAGCATTTTGGAATCTGTATTTCCAGGTAAAAACAGCAGCCAACACTGATTTCCCCATGTTCACACACAGGCTCTGTGACTGAAGGACAGACAGTTATGGCTGAACGTAGCCTTTGGCTGCAGGGGAAATCTGGGCACAATTCCTTAAGCACTGTCAGGGACTGCCTGCAAAGCAAGGTGTAAATTCACAGTCTGAACTGGTTCAGTCTCACCTGCCCAATTTTTTAATCCAATGCAGCACAGGAGCTGGAAATATGGCACCAATGATTCAAAAAAACCCAAACTGTGGGATCTGATGTAAGATTACAAGGGCAGGGTTAGATGGGATATTGGGAAGAAATTCCTCCCTATGAGGAAGGTGATGCCCTGTCACAGGGTGCCCAGAGCAGCTGTGGCTGCCCCTGGGGCGGGGGCGGCGGCGGCAGCGGCGGCGCGGGAATTAAAACTGCGCCACGGGCAGCGCGGGGGAGTGGGGGGTGGTGGCACTGCTTGCGTCATCAGCCGGCGCCGGGCTACGTCAGCGATGCGCGCTGGGGAGTAGGGGCGTGAGGCCATGGCGGCTGTGGGGGTCAGCGGGGCGGGGGTCCCGTTGCTGTCCCTTCCCTCCGCTCGGCGGTCCCGTTGCTGTCCCCTGCCTACGCTCGGGGTCCCGCTGCCCCTGGCTGGGCCGTGGTGCCGGCCCAGCTCCCAGCAGCCAGGCAGGTGCTCAAGCTCCGCTGAGGTGAGCGGGCGCTCACGGTGCGTGGCTCGCAGGATGGTTTGGTTGGGAAGGACTTTGGAGCTCATGTCGTTCCAGCCCCTGCCACGGGCAGGACACCTGCCATTGACAAGGTTCTTCAGAGCATTTAGTAGCGTTTTTATTGTAGGTATTGAGAATCTGCCGTGCGAGCTGCAGAGGAACTTCCAGCTGATGCGGGAGCTGGATCAGAGAACAGAAGGTGCGTGCAGTGTTTCGGCGAGCAGAGGCAGAGAGAGCCCGGCCTGAAGGACGGGCAGAGCCCGGTGGAGGCCGGGCTTTAGAGGCCGTGGCTGTTCCTTCCCTCAGGCTGAGTGCTCTGCGGTGTTTGCTGCTTTCCTGGGAGGATACAGCTTGCATGGCAGGGCTTGATTTTGTTTCCCGTTTAAATTCATAGCTCTGTGGTCACTCCACTCAGTGGCCACTTGGATGGCCTTCCTTCCATGTGTTTCTGTATCTAACAAGTTCTAGATTCCTGTGTGCCTTGCAGGATGATTTTTTTCTTTCTTTTTGAAGCTTTTGTTGGTATCTGTCTGCACATTAATTATTTTAATTTTGGACCATAAGAGCTGTAAGTGACTGTGCAACAATTAAAATGTTCTGTGTGTGGGAAGAGAGGCTGAAACTTGTGAACCCATGGGTTCAGTTCCTGATCTTAACTGTGAATTAACTGTAAATTAACTTCTGAAAGTAGCTGTAGAACACTAGAGAAAGCAGATTCACACCAAAAGTGCCAAAGAGTGAACACCTTTAACTTAACTGGGTTTGTTTTTAAAAAGGAAAATGCACTGAGGAATTGAGGGGAGTGTAACAGCTGTCAGGAAGGGTGTCCTGAATGGAAATAGAAAACCAAAAATACCTGCTTTTTTTTTCTTTGTTTCCAGACAAGAAAGCAGAGATTGACAGCCTGGCAGCAGCATACATTGAGTCTGTGAAGAACATGGTACCTGAGGAGAGGGTGGAGCACCTGAGGAAGATCCAGAGTGCCTACAGCAAGTGTAAGGAGTACAGTGATGACAAAGTGCAGCTGGCCATGCAGACCTATGAGATGGTGAGCCAGGGAAAAACGGGCATCCTCTGGAATGCTGCATGTGGAGGTGCTTCACAGTGTCAGCATCCCCTCACTTTTTCTTCTTTTTGACTCTAATTTCTCACCAAAACAAACTTAGTCCTTAAGCTTATGTTTCTCTCTGTTGCCATCCCAAAAAAGCTTTCTCCTTTGGCACCAAGTTTCTCTTTTGCTGAAGAATTAGTGAGTTTACCCCCCTTGGAGGTGGCTTTATCAGCAGTTCTTGTCTGCTGTGTGATAATGCCAGCAAATTTACCCACTCCCTCCTCCCCAGCAGCTCTCTGTCACTGATAATTTATATGGGGCACACTTAGTTGAAAGCAATTTGGTTTTTTTAAGCCAGCTGCTGTGGTGTGTTGTAGAGGAACAGCAGGAATGCTGCTCAGTTGCCTTGGTTTATTGGACATAAAAATTTCTTCAGTGGACTTTGGGAGAAAATCCCATTTCTTAAGATGCAGCTTTCCACTTTTTTTTTTTTTTTTTCCCTTTTGTCCCTTGGATAATTCTTTTCTCCACTTGTTTTATCTCCTGGATAGAAGTTGAGTGAGGGGAATCCCTTTGACTGTGCTGAGTGTTTGTTGTCCAGCTTGCAGAGATGCTTGGGGTTTTGCACAGCTGCAGTAGACATTTGGCTGCCATCAAATACTGCAGAAAAGGAAGTGATATCCCAGGAATATCAATGCCCTGGATAACTAGTGAACTCATTTAATGGCAGACTACTGCAGCAGCACATTTTGGGGGTGGTGCCTTGAAATCCCCGTTCTGAAAGTCACTTTCTTGCAGCCAGGGTAGTACCAGGTACTTAATTAATGTGTGTTGACTTGATGTTGAGGATAGCCAGCCTCTGTCTGTGCTTATTGTTAAACTTCTTGGATTCACATGACAGTGGAGGACCAGGAAAACTCTGTGTGCTCTGCTCGACGCATTTCAAGGAATTTTGAAAATCACAGGGACAAACACATTATTTTTAGTATCTCTCATCTTGTTTTGTTCTGGAAATCATTACTCTGAGTTGCTGTGACCCTCTGTTGCCTCTCTTCCCCTTCTTTCTGCTCCTGGAGGGGTTGGATCCTTGTGCTTTGCCTCCTCATTCCCTCTGCGTGTGCCGTTTCCCTTTCCCCAGCCCGTACCCCTTCCGTGCCTCGCTCTGCACCACCACACTGCTCATGCTGATAACAGCCAAGTTTAGCCCTTCCTGTTTTCATCTGGGGCTCTTTTTTGGCTGTTTCTTTGTAGTTCAGTTTGTGGTTTCCTCTTGGGGCAGGTGGATAAGCACATCCGCCGGCTGGACGCGGACCTGGCGCGCTTTGAAGCCGATCTCAAAGACAAACTGGAAGGCAGCGACTTTGAAACCCCTGCATCCAGAAGCCTGAAAAGTGGGTGAATTTTACACAATTGGGAGCTTTTTCCAGCACTTAGAGTATCAAAGCAGGAAGGCTGAGATGTAAAATAGGCTGTTATTTCTGGAGGAAGGAAAGAAATACGTCGTGTCATTTGTTTTTAATGCTCTTACAGTGGGCAGGAGATGAAGAGAAATGTGGTGCTGGGATCAAACTTACTGTCACTGTTTGATCCTGAGGTTGTCACTGGTTCTAAGGAGGGTGCTGTGCCAAAACTGCACTGATGTAACAGTCTTAGTTTTGGGAGAAAGTGGGAATTAAAAGAAGATGCCAGTTTCTGTTGTGTATCCTGAAATACTGTGTGAGTACAGTTACATTTGAATGTGGATACAGCAGAGCAGCAGAGCTTTATGCCTTTGAACAATGAAATAAGGGGTAGGAGCAAGGAGGTGGAGCTAAAAGTTATGTTAGTTATTGAGTAATCTATTAACTGTGTTCAAAAATACACTGAGATGGAAAAAAAAACTTCATGTCTAATCAAGTGTGATGCTGTTTATGACCTGTGCTGACATACTGCAGTGCTTTATTGCCAAAGCTGCAAACACAGGAGTTCGGTGCTCAGTGGTTACTGATTTGGTGTATTTGTGGCTTAAAAATGCATGTCAGTCAGCATATTCAATTACATATATAATAAGGATTACTCAATTACATATGCAATAGGGATTTCAAGCCAGTAACTGCATCAAAGGAACAGCTGGGGATGTTTCTGCCACTCAGATATGCTGAAGTGAGGGGGTTGTTTTTCCTTTCTAGAGGGACGAAGTCAGAAAGACAAAAGAAGCTCTCGTGGTCGAGGCAGGAGAACATCTGAAGAAGATACACCAAAGAAAAAGAAGCTCAAAGGAGGGTAAGGCAGAGCCAGGCACAACTCCAGGGCCTTGGGCTTGACACTTCATGAATTTTCCACAGGCTCATATTACCCTATTTATGACTCATGTCCAGATGGTGAGCAGTGTTAAGAGTGTTCTGGTCTTACTCCATTTCATTAATGTCTTGCTTAGGACAGGCCAGCATTGTTAATTAACTCCTTGGTTGGCATGTGGAAGCTCAGCATGCTTGGAACACTCTGACTGGAAGGACAAGATCAGCCTCCCTGTTGCTGTTGGCAAGCTGGGAGAAAATAGCTTTGATTTTTGTCACAGAGCTATTTTTAATAGTTGCTTGTGGTCTTGATGGTAAAAGAAATTCACTTGGCCACAGAAACTGATGTTATGCTGCTGTTCTAGAAATCTTGGAGAATTTTGGGGGGTTGTTTTCAAAGGATTGTGTCCTAGGTAGAATTGAATAATCTGATTTGGTTTTGAGAGGCGAGGAGGAAAGCATGTGCCCTCTCTGAGATGGGATTTATATTAAAGGGGCTCATTTTATTATGATATTTTCAGGTGGCAGGAAACTAAAAGTAGTTTCTATGGACTGCTACTGGCATGTCAGCACATCCCTGTCAGGGTAAGAGGCTTCACTCATGCCTGACAATGAAAAAAAACCTATATTGAAGCAGGTTGGGGAAAAACCCCAAACAGGTTATTCTACCCACAACCAGGAGTGGTGTGTATGATAATTTGTTACTTTACTCATGACAGCTACAAATCCCTCTCTTAATTCTTTCCAGTCATACTGTGTTTGATCCAACCTACCTAATGATTTTAATTACTGGGCTGTGGTAATGTAATACAAGCTCTAAAACAGGCTCAGTGTGGTTTAGGGAAGATACTGTAAAACACTAATTTTCCCAAGTAGGATTTACATCCTGGAAACACCAAATCCCAGAGTGGTTTGGGTTTGTAGGGGCCTTAAAGACCATCCCATTCCAGCCCCTGCAGTGGACAAGGACACCTTCCACTAGCCTGGGTTGTTCCAAGCCTGGCCAGGAATACTTCAGGAATGGGGGAGGCACAGCTTTTCCAGGCAACCTGTGCCAGGGCTTCCCTACCCTCACAGGGAAGAATTTCTTCCCAGTACCCATCTAGCCCTGCCCTGTGGCAGTGGGGAGCCATGCCCTTGTAACACAGTGCTGTCTGCAGCTGAGAAGTGTTTTGTCCTGACCCTGTCCTTGCCCACAGGTCTGAGTTTGCTGATACTATCCTGTCAGTGCATCCCTCAGATGTCCTGGACATGCCAGTGGATCCCAACGAGCCCACCTACTGCCTGTGTCACCAGGTGTCCTA